GGCTGGCTGTACGGCAGTGAAGCATTGGTGTTGAGCACTGATGTCATGCTGTCGATGATGATGATGATGACGCTCTGTTCAATCGAAGTGAGAGATAACCGAACCAGTTGGCAGCCACTCATGGCCAAACTGTTAAGTTCCTCCTTACTGGCCTGAAGGTCACGAGCTTCGCGTGCTGCATACTGCTAGTTATTCTCAACAAGCATAAAACAGCTGCACAGTGCTTCTAGGCTTTTCAGCATAAATAGGATTTACTGACAGGATGAATTTTGCCTTGGGCATTACCAAATCTCCTTAAATTACTATGTACCGTGATAGACGAATTGAGCAGTGGTCAATCAAATGACAGTAAGTGGGCCTACAAGAAACACAATAGACAGTCCGGTCTCACGGAGCATTTCTCGGTAATTACCTATCATGAGAGCATGTCATGTCAAATTAGCCCCAATAATTATTGGACATGTCAAATCAGCCCCAATAGTTATTGAATTGAATTGAATTACAAACAAACGTGACAGATTTGTTTCGAATATTACCTATAAGACTCGGGGATATTCAAAGCTATTCACAAAACCGGGCATAGTATTTAGAAAAGGAGTAGTTTCTCAAGGAGAATGAGACTACTCGAATGCTCTAAGGTATCAAAGGTATTGTTAGTTTATCACACTGAGCTGCGTAAATTGTATACCTGAGAGAAGTGTTGGTTGAGCTTATTTACAGCTTGTTTCCATGACATAAGCTGACCTTCCCACTCAGTCCATAGTAGTGGAAAATCTTCATCTGTGAGTTTCTCGACATCTGTGGCATTGAGTTTTGTGACGCAGCCCTTTTCCATGGCAGTTTTCACGCTCCAAGGCGACCAAGGAACGTTTGGTACTCTTCCGTCGTCTTCGGGTTGCTCAAGGTTGTTGTCAGAAAAAGACTTGGCGATTGACGAGGACGCGGCTTTGCGTTGCCAATTTCCGGGCATTTTCAGGAGGGAAAAGTCTTTTGGCCAGTTTTCGGTACAACACAGGTGGTCGGCCATTTGTCTACAAGTGAAAAGGACTGAATTTAATATTTCAAGGTCACCAGCGAACAGCGAACGGAGACCAGTGTATAACGGTTGGATAACGAATGGCTATAACCAATAATCTATTTGAGCACCGCCTGTTGACTTGCAGACCTAGGAAAATACATCGTAGAGAAGGGATTCTCTGTTTTGATCGATGCCACCAGTCAGACGGCACAAATCCCGATGACGGCTGGAAATTTGCGATATTGTTCGGTTTATAGTATTACGAACCTCAAAACTTCGGGCCTAATAGCGGAAGTATTGCTTTGCTTTACGATGCGAAGTGACCAAAGCTATTGCATCCGGACGGCCGGTCAAAACGAGGTGTTTTAGATCAGGTGATGTTGATACGTAGGGTCGACTTTGATCCCCGGCAGATGGGTAAACCCAAGTCTTTAGGGGTGTCTTTTCGGTTGGCTGGCCGGCTAACATTCAGAGTATTCCATAAAAATAATTTAAAGAATAGTCAAAATATTTTTTCAGTCTTTAGTACAAGCCTCTACATTCAAAAAGGAATCGTAAAGATCGAGCTGGTAACTTAACACTAAGTCGTAAGATAAGCATTCGGGTCGATGGATGGTTTGAGTTACCACATTTCATGATTACCGGTGAGTACTGCGACCTAAGTAAAATCGTTTCTCAAGGGTCGACACTTGGGGATCTTGGTTTTTCATCAAATTTGTGGACAAATTAACTTTGTGAACTTAGTTCCCGAGAGATTTTGGGCAACTGATGGGAGCGGGTATCCAAATGTCAAGAAGAGCTAAGTTTATCACTAAATGCAAAAACAAACAGTTCCGTTTGTAACATATAATTGGGTTTGTCGTTCAACCCCCTTCAAAAGATGAGCTCAGTTAAGATGTATATCATGGTGAGTTTGACGTTAGCAGGTGAAGAACGTTAATGAAATGCTGAAACCTCACTGCCCACGCTTTCATGATATTCATAAACACATTATTTCACAATAGGGTTACTCCACTCAGCGTCTGTTGGTGTGAACTAACGAGGATAACTGCCACAAGCTAGATGGAGCATCTTTCGGAACAGAATACAAATATCGGAGATTCAAACGGAGTAAAAGTACCATCTAACCAAGGTTCGAATGTCTGATGATGATCATGACCGAGGCGGGGGTGTTGACCTAACGGGTCACTACGGACAGACAAGAGAGGATGAAATGTTTGTCGATTTCAGTCTTCAGATGGCCTGTCATATACTTTAGAGTTGCTTCAGCCGGGTTTAGGGTTCTGTGAACAACACAGAAACTCGTAGGTAAAAGCGAATGCAAAAACAAGTAAATCCTCGATCAACAATTCACCTTTGGAAAGCTTGAGGACCAATTTACCGCTACATAACGAAATGATTGAACACTTAACTCTCCTTCTACATTCTAAGAAACTCACAGGAAGGACGCAGTTTCCCCTCGGATATAGTGAACATGTTTCTATGGCTAACAGATACTACGTCGAACTAAATAGTTCATATCCAAAAGTACGAATGACTGAGGGAAAAGGAACCTCTGTTTACGCATTCTCAATGAGGTTTCAAGGTGAAGCGGAAGTCAATATCCAGCATCTTTTGCGGTTCGACAGTAAATGTGTAACTTGCAGATATCTCGGAAACCAGCAACCAGGAGGAGCAAGTGACTCACCTGGAGAGTGAATCGAACGACTCCTGGTCTTCGGATGTTGAACTATTCCATTCGTAGTCACTGCAGGTCGTGTTTATAGGAGATTGGATTGAAAGACTTTCTGTCAGATTATCTGCCAAAATACATGATGGATTTGGGATAGGTGGTATCAGATTACACAAATAATATATCTTGAACAACACTCGATGGCTATTGGGGTGGGTTAATGTGGAAACATTCCATAACCTCTAAAGTGTATTTCGCTAGTTTTGTGCAATTTGGTTTCAAGTAGAACTCGGGGACTGCGCCTACCTGATGAGCTCCAAGAAGGACGAAACTGGTCGTGGGCTGTCAAAGAGTTTTCAGCAACCTTATGAGTAGTGCATTGCGAATACAGGCTATTCTGTTCCTGATTGACATTTGAGCGCTGTTCTGTTTGACTACGAGTTGCTTTTCAACGGTCTGGCTATCTCTCACTTAGGATAGAGCATGGACGTCTCTTGGTCATCACCCTTGATGTGTGATCCAGTACTGACAGGCTCTTCGCGCATGGACTTCTCGGATGAATTGAACAGTGTGTTTGCAGGATAGTGACAGTACAAGTTGTTCATACAGCTGATCAGTAGTTCGAACCGCTCCAGAGATGTGTTAAATGAGCACTTCTGACGAACTCCAAAAAGGACAAGACGGTAGTACAGTGCTTCTAGGACAGAGTGCTTCTAGCATAGAGTGACACTACTTTGAAGGATGAGAACTCGGCTGATGTTTCCAAATAGGTATTTCAGCCACAGATTATAACCATTCCGATGACCGGTCGCGACTTGGTCACGTATCCACAGCGAATCATGAGCATCCATCCCTGTCAGTCACTTTATCATGGATCAAGGAAATCACCTAGGAGATCTCATTCCGGTCGCTGCAGAGGGGGGCGTTACGCCTGGGTCGCACTTGGCAACGGGCCAAGTCCAAGATGCCAAAATAAAAAATGAGCTACAGCATGATCACGGACCGAGAGCATCTTAGAATAGTAGAGACTATGCCCGTCTGTTTGTTCTGTGATGTTGGGGTATCACTTCAAGTGTTACATAATTTTCAATTTTTAAGGGGGCTAAAAATTCATCATCAATGGTGCTCATCAATAGTATGTTGTCAGTGGCTTCTTCCTTCTTCGCGAAAACACCATATGTGAGAATCAGAAGGTTCATACGCGTGTTTAACAACACGTCTTTGTTTATAAACTCATCGACTCGAAATCAAAATGTCAGTATCAATTCAGTCGTTATTACCTGACATCAACAGGTATTCATAACTGCTGGGGAACCCGTTTCAAGTGCGGATACTCGGTTCGTGTTTTCAGCGACAAAGTTCATCGTCGCCAAACTTGAAGTGAATGGGATCATGTGCTTGTCTAGATTTACTAAAAGGCGCCATTTCATACAGTACGAGATTATTTGTCATCATGTGTAGACTGCTTATTTTCTAATGTTGAAGTCAACTAACTGCAACGTTGTGTTAAATTATTCTGGACGTTGGTCCACCTTTTTATAGCAACGTCCATGAAGAATAATGTATTGACTGAATAAGGTGCGGTTTGGACGCGGTACACTACTCATAAAGTTGCTGAAAACTCTTCACCACTGCAGGGTTGGTTTTGCCATTCTTGTGGTTCGTCCGACAGTCACAGTCCCCCAGTCAAACTTACATTTTAGTCCAACATAAGTTGTGGGCCGAATACTTTGGTTGATTGGTCAACTTAGGCATTTTTCTCACATTACTAAGTACCCAACTCTCACAGTCCTATTCATTCTGGTACTGTCAGGGCGTGCCCAGACATGGAAAAAGTACATGCCAGAGTGACGGCATCCCCAAGTTCACCATAGTTACGACACGTCCAGAAAGCAGGTGCGCTGGCGGAGCGCACCAAACACGGCTTAGCAACATAGGACCAGCGTAGTGGGCCTGAAATTGATCACGACCGGAACACCGCCATTGGCTGTACGGAGCGAACAAGTGAACGACCATATTTGGCCGTTTAGTCATCCTATATATTTACGCAGAGGCTCTGTACGTTTTTGTCCTGACAATACAGCCGTGTCCCCAGTTCTCTGTCTTCTCCCTATCGCGTAGTCTGGCAGGCGCAGTGCAGGCGTAACTCAATAGCTCGGCCACCGCACGATACAACAGGTACTTCAGCGCAAAAACGTTTCTGTGTGCAAACCACAGATGTGAAAATTTTATAACAGCGGTGACAATTTTTGGACCAACGTTCTGTTTGACTTAACATATTTTTGGGTTTGTAATCTTATTTCAAAGTGGAGTATAGCCGCAAAATTATTGAGTTTTGAGATCTCGTTTAAAAAAGCTGCACAGTTTTGAAGCAAGCGCCAAGTTCATTCAAGCTTTGGGAAACTTCTATGTTTATAATGTTGAATAGGAATCCAAGTACTCAAACGAAAGGCCCTACAATATATGGCGAGACTCGAACCTGTGCCCGAGTGACTGCCAGACAGTTGCCTCATTGCCGTCTTCTTGGATGGGGAATTCAAGACGGGCCATATTAATGGTTACAGACATTGTCAGACATGACGCTCGTGCATCCAAGCTATTGCATTCAATGCATAGCTCCCGTCCCATTCGCCCCACTTAACAGTCCACTGAAAATGCTGTATTTACGCACTGATTTATCTGCTGCCGCCTCCAATGCGCAGCTACCTACCTCACCTCCCCATATCACCGGTGAACGAAATTGTGGCAGCCACAACCACTCTACGACAAGTACGCGGTTATAACAGCTGACAGTGGTGATGACGATGATGATGGTGGTGATGATGATGATGATGATGGTGATGATGATGAGGCTAGGCTAACGTGGATGTGAACTGGGGATGTGAGAACACGAAAAGCACAATGTTTTTCATGTCTAGTTGAGTGGCAATGATAAAGACACCTCCAAGCACTTGAAGTACACTTCGTTTTAGTTCCCACGGAAAAAGGCTGATCTCTTCTTTCCACTTTTACAATAAAGTTTATTTTATGGTCACGTGACTTACTCATCTTATTGCCATTTAAATTCCCGTATGATTTTTGAATGTGGCTTGGTCAGGCTGAATTTTCAGGGGTGTTTGTCGCAGTAAAGTCTGAATAAATCGTTTAGTTCAGCGTTCAAAACTTTAAAAAGATGATCATGAAGGAAACCAACAACCTATGAATGTGGCTTGGTCAGGCTGAATTTTCATTGGGTGTTTATCGCAGTAAAGTCTGAATAAATCGTTTATTTCAGCGTTCAAAACTTTAAAAAGCTGATCGTGAAGGAAACCAACAACCTTTATTTTGAAGTGACAGGCTGTTCGGAGTAGCTAGCAAATACTCACACCTTAACATGTGACCGGCGTGGAATTCCACGGCTGCTCATACCTTTGCTACGGATATCTAACGTTAACTGTATACTAAATAACTTTCACAAGTTTTTTTACTGGTAAGCGTTTTTCGGGATTCTCAAATGGCTTGTTCAAAAGTGTGCATACGCAGAACGAAATGCCGAGTCTAAGCCACTGTGTTAGACAGAATAAAGTCCATATAGGAAGATAGAGGGGTCATCCTACGCTTTGCTCGTCCAAACACGGTAGTCCCTATAGTTCTCATTGACCGTCGCCGATATACAAAATCCAGTGGCGCTGTCGAGAAGGTATCAATCATTATCACGGTTGTGCACTACAAGTTCATCATTGGAGTTTTGGTTTCCAATATGCAACAAAATTTTGAGTTCACAACCTCCATGAATTAAAAATCAATAGAATATCTGCTTCTCCGAATGAGTTGTCTTCACCGGTTGCTTTGAACAAAATTAGTGGACTTTTTATGGTCGCTTATCACCCACCTTGTCTTCAACATCAATTTTTGTCTTTTAATCGTTCTAGAACTCTTCATATGGAAAAAGAATTAATTCAAAGTGCTGTTCAAAAGACGTCGCAAAATATTCCCTCTGTGGTATTTGTGTTGTTCTAGGAATTTCTGCCCAAATGGTGATAACACGGGGTGGAGTAAAGTTCAATATGATGAAGTCACGGACGCAAGAAAAGGATGTGCGGGAGAAAACGCCCAATGTATCACATTTTCGGGACAAATTACTTGCTTCTATCAATAAAGTTCGGTATCATGTGATGAAGTATGAGCTGTGATTGTTAGCCTTTTGTGGCAGTCAGCTTGCACTCCGTCGATCTGTCTTACACAATCAGAGGCTACCCCGACCCAAGGTCGGGAATCTCTGTTCTTGGTGCAGCCATAAAAAAACACTTGAGACTTATTTGGACACATTAACTTTGTGATGGAATATTCTCTTCTATTTATGGCATCTTGAGGATACTACCAATACACCTCAAGTATCATCTTTACTATGATTTGTGCAAAAGGAATCGTCCAAACTCCAAATTAGGCACAAGTTTGTTCAAACCACTATACCCGGAAACGTTCAAATAACCTACCTGAAGGGCTTGATGGACCAAAGTCAAATGTCTGAGTCTTTGAATTCGCGTCTTCAATGTTCATTTGCTTGTCAAACAGGTCTTCAGTGCCGATATTTCGGGGCGATTTTATTGGACTGTGATGTTGTTGGTTATCGAACTAAAACGCGTGACATAAGGGAATATTTCAGATGAATCGTGATCCGAAGCTTTATGTTAGCTGCAGAACGACAGGTTAGTACCAGCAGAACTGTAAAACAGGAATGTTCTCTATCCTTTCCACTTTGAATGTCAGTGATCAATAATGCAACGGCGCAATCAGACCACATCGTGATACACGTTTGTTTGTTATGTTCACACGTTTGTCTAGAAAATAAGGATGATTTCTACACAAAACCAATAATTTGGTCGAAAATGGTCTATCGTGGGAAGAATTTGGCAGTTGAGTGTGACTTAATATTCAACCTCCTCTAAGGGACACCAAAATATCTATTCCTTTTTGTTAGACGTAACTAAAGTGGACTGCCTCTAGCACCCGTCGTACCCAGTTAGGGAACTTCTAGTTACCTGAACAACATCCATGGTTACATCATAAAATGGTTTAATCAACCACGGCAGATGCTCTTAAGTTGCTGTAGCTATTTGGCTGTACACGATACAAATGGAGGTTCAAAGTGAGATGCACTTGGGCGCATTTTTGAATTAACCGCTCGAACAGCTTGTCAGTAATTTGGCTCAATCTTGTCTGCTTCTCGGCAGGCTGGTCTACTGGTTGTCCCAGCTCTGGTTCGTTGGGTAGGTGGGATGTCACAGACTCATTGAAGCACTCATGATGGGTGAGTGGTACTCAAACCAGCAATTGATACCTAAGCAAACGATGGACGAGGGAACAACATATGAACGAGCGAGTGGTGGTGCATTTTTAACAACTGGACACATTTAGATCCTCGGTAAATTCGGGCATTTGGGATATTTTTCGTGGATCGTGACCGGCGAAGACTATGGCATATGTGGGTCCATAAAACGTTGTTATTTCAGACCATGAAATGGAAACAACTTCAATATCGGACTGTATAAGTGTTACTGACAAAACGCAGCTTACTGACAATTCCGGCCTGACTCTGATTGAATCTCACTGTCGATGAACGTGTTTTATTCTGTTCTAAAGCGACCACGTGTGAGTTGTCATATCCCCTTAAAAGACAGAAATCATAACTGCCAATTTACTGATCAATTATTCCTAGGCGTCCAAGTAGTTAACCTCCGTGAAATGAGACAGTATCTCTTGGCTATACTCAGTACTTGGTTGGAGGTTTTGGAGGTGAACACTAGGAATACATTTAAATAGAATAGAAGAGTCTGTTAGCAGTCTTGAATTTTGACTTGAGTCTGCCTAAGCGCATGCGCCCGAGTCTGAACAGTGCAGTGAGTTTGTGTGTACCCAACTGCAACAGCGCTACCAACATCACCACGACACAGTGTTTGAGTTGTTCACCATCATTATCATCACCTGAGTGTGAGTACACGTGCACTAGCTCAACCGCGTAAACACATCTGTTAGGATGATCACCAGTGATGGAGCAGCTGAGGCACGCTGTCCTTCCAAGTTAGGAAAGCCTGACTGACTCCCAGAAAACTTTAGAATTGATGTTCTTATGTCTTTCACGTTTGTTATATCGGGGAAGTTAAATAAGTGAAACCGATAGGTGCTTCAGTGCTGGAAGAAAGGAACACCTTCCACTTTGGACACTGGAGAAACCGTTTTGGGCAGTGACCGGAAGCTGGCCACAGCAAGATCAAGCATCCTCTGACAAGTCTTCTAGTCATTCCCCGTGACGTCTAGCAGACGTATGGACGCACAGTAGTGGAAGTCTAAGGAATATCACCGACATGATGCAAGTGTGCCTTCGTCAAAACATAATTACAAGCTATCCTACCACATGCCCGAATCTCCTGTAGATTTCTTTGACAGGTGCTTTTTCTCCTGTTTTCTGCTACTGTAGCGATCTTTACGGAATCTTCCGTTAGATTTCCTGACTATTTTTATAATCCCAGAGCTTCAGAAACTCGTTGCGATATCGCGATTTGATTTTTGAGGTGAGCTACCAAACTCATGACCGAATTAACCTTGAATTAACCTTGAATTGAATTGAATTGAATGCAAAGTGATGGAAGGTCGAGTACATCAACCGTGCACGTCAGCACGGCGTGAGCAGGGTTTGCCGTTGCAACTCTAAATTCCCAACCACCCACTTACCACCGTAACCAAGATCCGACTTCGTTCATATTGTAACATGAACAGCTACGTTTGATGGGGTAGAAAACGGTTTTCGTCTACCGAGGGTTCTTTTGCCTATTATACGTTTCGATCGCCTTTCTGAAAGCAGCATCTGCTTTACACCAGCGTCAGAAATCCAAACAAATCATGCGATTGCATAACTTGCATCCGATTGCCAAATAGGTTGTGTCAACTCGTATCGATCGCCTCCGCGCCGGGACACACTACTCATCGATCGTAATTTCTTTCAACCACGTGATCGCTGGGACTGAGGATTACGATGTTCGCCTGTTCAGTCCCAATTCAAATCAATCGATAAACAGAGTGAACTCAGAAAAGGCACTGGTACTAAGGAAGGTAGGTAATTTATACATCGGTTACACAACCGAAATCAGGCAGCATGTGACCATCACGTGCTTGTTCAGAGGGAGTGAGAGGCACTTGCAATATTTATCATTTTGGATGCTTGAAACAGATGTGTAAGTCGGTCAGATTTTTCAGAATCCGATTTCATTTTCAAGGCGGTTGGTTGAAGTGGTTTAAGTCATAAAAAATCGCAGCATTGGAGAAGCTTCATACAAAGCCACGGGAACGTTTCTTAACCAGACATCGGGCTAATCGTACTGGTACATTCCTAAAACTAGAATTTTCACTGAACACGAATTCAGTTGATACGCGAATTACCACCCTACCATACGTGATCAGTTGTGTGTATTCGAAGGCTGTTCGCGCAGCAAGACATCGTTTTCCGTGCATTAACGCCACCAGGGTGCAGTCATTTGGTGAGCGGTCGTTTTTGAGTATAAACTGGCTTTACTGACAGGATGAAGTTTTGCCTGAAAATTCCCAAATCTCCTCGCACTTTCGACCGACTTTTTCTTCATTAAAATTTACTCTTAGTCTGATGAAAGCCATAATCATCATAGCTGAAATAAAAAATATTTTCAGGCAATAGTAATTGAACGGAGCATGCTCGTTCTGTCAAAAGTCTACAATTACCCTAAATAAACTAATTTTACGTGAATTGCTTTTCTGCAGCCTCTGTGACAGTCGATGCGATCTGGGACAGATATTTGTACCAAAGGTGGACACGTGTCACCCGTCTGTGTTTGTGAATACTTGTTCCGGCTGTGCCTTGTACAACAGTGGAGTGGTGCGGTCGATCGAATAGCGTTTACTATCTCGACAGTCGCGTGGTGTGCAGCCTCTAGACGGTAGGTTGAATAGGACAGAACAGTGCTGGAACACAAAACGTTTATTCGAATTCGAACGATAAGGGCCAATATGGCATGATCCGGTTGGATTTCAAGGTGGACTGTTAAACCGTCCTCAGTCGAATTCACACTGATTATTTTCGTATAAACATAACTGGGTCAATTTTGTGCCCCTCGCATCGAACAACCAATCAAATTTTGAGTATACAGAAATGAACAGGGATAGTGCACCGCATGAAACGGAAAATTACCAAATCAGGGTTGTCAGGATGGAAAATATTTTTTTTCGAACCTAAAGTGGGTTCATTTAGAAAGGGCGGACAAAAGCCTCAGATTATTTACTCTGATTTGTCATGATACATTCCAAAGATGGCTTCCTCCGACACAATGAAAATTCTATCACTCGTATTGGTGCGTCTCAGATGAAAGCTTGTCACATGGGGAGTTCGTGATACGTGTAGATTATTTCTACTAGTTGTATGCTATCTTGGGTGACTCCAGTCCATGCGAATAAAACCGCAAATACCATGGTGCTTACTGTTCTGCACTTTTTATCCTCAGCAACATCGTAGTCTAGTAAGGTTGTGATCAGATCCCGAAAGGTTCAAACCACACGGAGGACTTTTATTTCTGTCGTAATTCATCTGGCGGATACAGAGTTTTTCGAATGATTTTTCACCCTCAGTTTCGAACCACAGATTGATTGATCTCTTAACCGTAGGACTGCACGCCAACTACCCTATGGAAATAAGATGGGATCCTTGGTTTCAACTGGACGGCGGCTTGGTCAAGCTGTCATCTGAGTGCTGATGAATACAGAAGATACATAAAAAATCCCATCAACTCTTGGGGAGTAAGCCGAATGCTAGAAGAGTGACATGGCAGAATATTTAAAATCCCAAATACACGAGATGATTCTTGTTTTTAAGGCACATTTGAGCCCGAAAGTGCATCTTGGTAACTAACCGGTCAGTTTTGAATATTGAGGACCTGTTGGACAAACGACCGGCCCGCTAATCAATCATTAGGTTTTTCCAAGTGAGCCACCGATAGTCACAAATTCACGTCTACTACTATGCGAGATGGTCGACAGCATCAGTGTGTTTTTAGAGAGTGGTGTGTGGCGATAGACTATTGGTTGTACCAGCTCAACGACAACAATCTACGCTGCCTGAGCTACCAAAATTTTCCTCGATAAAGAGGCTACTGGTTAAACATGACACGCACATCCACGAAAACCGAATATCCAGTCACCGCCTTGCCCTGTGACGCACTTTCCATTCCCAGTCCATCTTCGTACTTCCAGATGTGCCTGAATTTCATACTAGGATTTTGATATAAACTGGAATAAAAGACATAGTGATAGATGAAAGTACCCTGTTAAGCTCACGTCCAATAAGACTGACTAACTTTCCAGAATCACTAGTCTGTTGGTCATGTGCGGATCGATGTGAAACCCGAGACAAGCAGAACCTTCCGATAATATGGAGAGATCTGGCAGTCAATATGGGGGTCAGTTAGATTCCTGGAGTGAAAATTCTATCGCTCGTATTGGTGCGTCTCAGATGAAAGCTTGTCACATGGGGAGTTCGTGATACGTGTAGATTATTTCTACTAGTTGTATGCTATCTTGGGTGACTCCAGTCCATGCGAATAAAACCGCAAATACCATGGTGCTTACTGTTCTGCACTTTTTATCCTCAGCAACATCGTAGTCTAGTAAGGTTGTGATCAGATCCCGAAAGGTTCAAACCACACGGAGGACTTTTATTTCTGTCGTAATTCATCTGGCGGATACAGAGTTTTTCGAATGATTTTTCACCCTCAGTTTCGAACCACAGATTGATTGATCTCATAACCGTAGGACTGCACGCCAACTACCCTATGGAAATAAGATGGGATCCTTGGTTTCAACTGGACGGCGGCTTGGTCAAGCTGTCATCTGAGTGCTGATGAATACAGAAGATACATAAAAAATCCCATCAACTCTTGGGGAGTAAGCCGAATGCTAGAAGAGTGACATGGCAGAATATTTAAAATCCCAAATACACGAGATGATTCTTGTTTTTAAGGCACATTTGAGCCCGAAAGTGCATCTTGGTAACTAACCGGTCAGTTTTGAATATTGAGGACCTGTTGGACAAACGACCGGCCCGCTAATCAATCATTAGGTTTTTCCAAGTGAGCCACCGATAGTCACAAATTCACGTCTACTACTATGCGAGATGGTCCAGTTGGTTAGAGCGCGAATTTACTGACCGGAAGGTCAGTGGTTCGAACCCGACCTCTGCCACTCGACTTCCCCTGTCTAGGCTTGGGCGACCTGGCAGTATCCCAGCCCTCATGCCTCCTTCGTGTGGTATGGCAGCTAGGCACCGAAAGGGTGCTACAGCTGGACGATCATTCATTTCACTACTATGCCCACTCTCTTAAAAACAGTATTAGGTCAAAAACCGTGCGTTTGAATTAATTAACGCAAGTTGTTTTGAAACCCGCTTTCCACCATGCCAGTCTATGGGAGGGTTATTCGCACGAGGACAAATTTTGGACACAGAAAACAAAACAAGGTTGGCGGAGGCTTGGAGACTGTACTAACTTCATGAACCTCAAAAAGCGTGAAACCAGACATGTGCTGTCAAAGATTTTTCAGTAACCTTGTGAGTAAATGAAAACATCTGTTTCTTTAAACGTTCTATTCAAGACGAAGCGAGAAATCATCGTGGGCCTTCATAATAGTATTGGCTTCGCAATAGGCCTGGATTTCTTTGGGTCGTCTGAAGACAATGTCCACTTTATATACATATACGTATACCTATACGTATGCAAACATTTACATTATATCGTTTAAATTGGAATTTAAATTCGTAAGCAGACTGATTGCGTGTTCACGCAGAGTGGTAGTGTCGCTGTGCTCTAACGCATGGACATTCCCGAGAATGACACGTGACCCTCCACTGTGGAATTTGTTGCACACTGACTTCATACAACTGCCAATGTTATCCGAAAATAGAAAGTTAGGGATGTCAGATACACAATTACCGAGTAATTTAACCATGCAAGAAGAAACCTGCCGAGTTGTATTTATTTATCCACCTGAAATTGAACGCACGGGGGGTACTAGTCCAGTTCATTCATCCAGTTAAAGTTCGTATACTAAGAACACGTTTGGGTTTTTGCAATAATGCTTTGACGTCTCGAATATCGTACCCATTGAAATATGAGGCAGCGATTGTGGAGCACATTCACTTGAAGAATATGATAAACAAAGGATTCAACTGGGATTTAGATGAGTCCCGTGTTAAATCAATTTGATGTGTGAGCGTATTTCAGGTCACAGCAGATTCGCTCATTGTTGACAGGAAAGTTAGAAGAAGGGTCTATCCAATTCAGGGACACCGCAAAGTCATTGGTTATTGCTCAGAGGGAAACAGGGGCGGCCGCGCACTGAAGATAATAACTATGGTAAGTAGGGTATTTGGATATGAACAACTGTACTGATTATGCCGTTGTCATTAAACAATAAAGTGCTTTGCTCGGAACCGCAGACCGGGGTGACTGCAGTTATCCAAGTGATTGAGGTTGTCTTTGTACTTTGTTATTAGTCCGTATTCATATCACAGCTTAATCATTTCCATCCTACATATGGGTCTGTGAAAAGACTGTGAGACACTAAGATTCGAAATAAGTGAGTCGGAGTGTGACTAGCTCATCCGTTGTGGACCAGTAGCCTTCTTCAAAGGTTATTGTACTACACGGCAAACCTTCCTTTCAAATATCCAACTTTAAGACCAGGTCATGGTTCGTTACATCCTAATCGATGATATACAGCCAAATTTACTCACGAGGTACGAAAGTCCCTTGTCCTTGAATGCCACTTTTGTTGTCCGTTCGGATCGGTAGGACATGAGAATAACCACACGGTAGAGCTTGGAAAATGTACATTCTCAGCAGTGCGAACTTGCTTAATCTGGTCGGATTTCAAGCGAGGATAACTACTGGAAGCGATGCTTTTGGCCAACAATAAATTAGCTCGACATATAAGAAATTAAGACTGTGTAGGGCGGGTCGTTGGAGCGGTAGTCCTCTACACTTAACGGACTATGTGGTTACGTTCTTGCACACTCCATCCGTCAAGTAGTGCGCCTGCATCAGCATAAAAGCCTCGTGCTCTGAGTGGTGCAGATGCATGATAACAATGTAATCAGGCCTTTTGAGCATTTTCAGTCATGGCATATGAGTGTTGAGGCCAAAGTAACTAAGCTTGCCATGTAACCTTTTCTGACAGTTGATGAAGTAAGCCATCCCTGACACAGTCAACCGCAGACCCAGTGGCATAGCACTCCCTCCACAGAGCTCTTCCCCCTGCAACATACATCCTAGGTGTGTAAGATTAATGAGCAATCAGTTGTGTCTGGCTATTCTAAACAGCTTTTTTTGTGGTATGCAATGGGATGGCTTGCTTCATCTGGAATGCACGCACCTAATGTTTTTGCCTACATTTTAAGTAATCACCCTAGTAGACACGGTAAACGTGTATGATATTCCATAAACCAGGAATTCCGGTGCAGCCTGGATAAGTAGGGATTCTTCCATCCAAAGGATACTTATCAATTCATCGAGCGTCACTCCATCCAATGCTCAAACAGCAGTGGCGTCAAGGCGTGTGTAAACTGTGAAAAGCTCCGGTGAGTGACGCAGTCTCCTAGACTTGATCGCACCCGATTCGGGCAAGAAAAGCCCCCCTAGTCTAGAGCAACAGTTGGGAAGCAAAGTCTACAAAATCAATAGTTCACATTTGATAAGTAACACTAGGGCGGTAGCTCATGACCGATTTTTTGCGTGGTGCAAAGCAGCGATTTGTGAATTAAACGTTTTTCTCACCTGGAAGGTCTAATTTCTCTGAAGAACCGTTCCCGTTCTACGGTATTCTTTCTGTGAAGGAGTACTGGGTTCGCATTCAGTGTACGTTTTGACTTTCAAACAATTCGAAAGTTACTCAGGCAGCCGAAATCGTGAAACACGCTAGCGATAAATAAAACGTCCGATGGTTATTGGATAGATTCAATCCATTTTGCATTACTTAATATTTTACTATCAGTAATATAGGTTTATTTATATGACAAACACTAATTTTCGCGCCCCGGTACAACAATCCCTTTGAGTTGATCGACTTTCACCAGTAATACTATGAAACATGTGGTCGTCAACGATATATTTTTGAAAAACTTCCACCATGTATTCAAGCTTACCGCTTCGTCAAAAAAGCATTCTCCGTTTGATCCAATCCGCATAGTTAGATTATCAATAAGCTTGTCGTTGATACGTATTTCAACCTTTAAAAACAAAAACAAAACATTGAAATAACACCACATCAGCATCTGCTCCCGGACTTCATAGCCCCAGAGACAATAACAAAGTCAGTTTTTTTGTCACACGCGGAAATCACTGACGTCAAAATGGTTGTGACTAGGGCCCACTGAGGTAGCACTGACTGTGCTACCGGATGGATTGCTGCAGGTAAATTCAGCCAAATCTGCCTATTTAATGTATTGACCTGGTCAGCCTCCACACAAGTGATCGTTTCAAAAAGAAGGTCACGTGTTGAACGGGTTTCCATACCGTCTTCATATCCATACATTATTTTCGTGAATGAACTGGCGGTATTTTGTCGATAAATATGAAACGCCTTGACATTCTTTCGGCGGTATTTCATGCAAATAGAAGAAGCAGGATCATGATTCTTTTGGTCGAAATAACTGACTTTCAGTGTGAATCTGATGAATAGTTTTTTTTATAAAAAAACTGTACCACCATACGTACACGGTCTAACCCGTAAAAGTTTGCAATTCGCGCAAGCTAGTAAATTTGATGTAAACAGAGAGGATGAAATGGACTGACGAACATACTGAGGCGGTATTGTCGATGAGAAATGAACTTGTCACAAATTAAAATAACACCTGCTGCTTTCAACTGCCGTGAATCCTAGCGTCTCATACTTTCCCGTTGTGGAATACACATTGCAATGATACTTTCTTGTTTCCCATCCTCGTCACTCACAGACCAGTCCCGGTATTTTATTAACCACTCCGACTTCGAGTCTCTACACATATCACATTTGTTCTACCAAGAGTAACTTGGTTATCTGCAGTTCACGACTTGTTCTACAAATATCGCGTCTGGCACTGACACAAAACTGGATTTCACATTAGAGAATTAGGTTTGAGCATTCATAGAACAACGGGACCCACTGAGCGCATTATTGTCAATCAGCTTAAACTTTTAAGTCGTTTCGGATTACGGCACCTAGATCGCGACTGGTTTGTAACTCAAGTATGCTCCCACCTGAAACTTAGTTGACTTTTAGCGAATATACACTCATTTACAAACTAATTTGGTTTTTTGAGAGACTCACCAGGAACCCAGCTGAATCTCTCGTTTGTGATGTTTCCAGGAAACTGAATGTGCTGCACCAGGCCGCTTCATGTTTTAGTCACTACGATATTGGAAATATCGCGATACATGTATATTTGTAATGCACTGCTAATGAGGTTGCTGAAAATTCGTAGACAGCCCACGACCGGTTTCGCCCTTCTTGGGGCTCATCAGGTAGCCGCAGTCCCCGAGTTTCCGTCAACCTTATGTTCTACTTGAAACCAAATTGCTCGAAATTAGCGAATATACACTCATTTGGAAACTAATTTGGTTGCCTTTTGTTCCTGCTAGCGGCGCCGGTTTGTAAGAGTCCCCATTTGGCATACTTGACAGATAGCTTTGACACCAATGTTGCGGAATATAGGCAACTCCGGTGTGCTGCTTTGTTTTTGGTTTGTTCATCAAGGTTGGCAGTTGAATTTTGGGTTGACCCCGCACTGACGATGAAACATTTGCAACCCACTGCCATGCTCTGCGAGCAGATCAACAACCAAACTGTTACCACTTTCTCCCACATCAGTGTGCAGATTCGAGTGACTCGTATAAGAGTTCCAAAGTTCTGGGATGCTACTTTGTGAATGAATGTCCATCACCACAAGCAAATACACTTCGGCGGATATGTAGAAGTTTTCTCGGCAAGGAGACTAACTAGGGTGCACCTTCTTGTTTCGTATAACTTTTCTACTGATTTCGCTCTGCCAATTACAAAGGCTGCCTATCAAGCAATTATTCACTCTTATCAGAATCTTTCACGTTTGCTTGAAAAGTGTTTGAAAATCTTTTCTATTATAAAATAAGACTAGTTAATGAGAACACTTACAAGATTAGATCTTGGAACAAGGACACCAGATTTTCCGAACCGCACGTGGAATGGTGTGCTCTTAAAAGTTCCATCTGGTTGCTGGATCACAACGATGTCAATAGCTCCCGACATATTGGCACGATTTACGCTCCGATAGTATTCTTTCGCTCCAGACACGAGTTTATCCAAATAGTACATTTTTATCATGCGTTTTTCGAACCAGATTTAGGATAAACGGGCGCGCGATCATCAGGTTCACTCATATGATGTCGATAAGATTATTTCAGCCAATCAGCTGAACAGATCAGGTTTGCGCCACGGTGGTTGGCTGCACGCAGGAACGTTTGCTGTCAGATATTCGCGATAGCGGATTGTTGGCCACGTGATTCCAATCGACAGTGTGAAAAACGGGCCACTCACAGGCGCAATCAAATGTATCGATAAGGGAAATTCGGTAATCTAAGTGCGGAAGAACCGACATATTAGTAACACGTAACTCAGTGACTGTTCCTTAAATGAAGCTAATCTGTGCTGAAAAAAATTTTCTTTATGCTGAATCACTAGAAGTGTGCACTTAGGAAATTCCAGGGAGTTTTGGACCAATTCAGATGAAGAGTACTTTCACACGTTGAGTGAAACTTTAATCTGGGTATTCTTCACTCGGATAACTTTCATAGTCCAGCTCTATCGATCTCAGCTGGCTCAACTGCTCTTGGCATCAAAGCAACACTGTTCTGAAAACCAAATCGTGGATGAAGCACACTTAAAAACAGCTAGCAAGAGGCGCTCACTGTTTTTTGTCCAACTTATCCGATATGACCAAATGATAAGTGAATTCGTCGAGGTTGTAAATACCGATTGATTCCAGGAAATACATACCAGCAGGCGATGAAAACGACGGCGAACGCAAATCCTTCAAACGCCAAATATTGAAGAGGCTCAACAAAGACCGGAATTGATGAACAAAGAATTTTCATAGATGTAGGAGGCTTTTGTCACAGGAATTAGCCGTGACACACACTAAGTGATTAAGACAAGTGACCCGGGGGAAAGTAAGTGTCAGGTGAACGATTAGTGAACAAGGGGTCTCGGTAATCTACTCACAAAATAACTGGTTGGAATATGCGATCGGGCATTTAGGAGTGCAGTTTAGCTAGTCTCCTGCGAAATCGCCCCCTGAAGAAGAAGAACTGGAGCAGGAAACGTCCCTTTGTAAAGTACGAGAACAGATGTTTTGTATCAAGTCTCTTTCGGAGAAGACGGCATCTCTGGTTACTCATATTACAAATCTTTCTGGTCCCAAATAAGGATAAGCGGGCATTGTCTGAAATTCATCGTCGCAGTAGTCTGGTAGCTGTTGACCGTCGGTTGCTATTTTCTTAGACTGCCCAAACATGCTGAGATCGTTGACAAACCAAAGGACGTGAAGTATTGACTTGAAAACCAAAAATCACAGCCATTACCAGTAAGTTCAGCTGACCTGGTTATTGCCGTCTCTCTGTTTGGGGATCCCGAGCCAGAACAGAGCACTTTTTTGTAAACAGTGGCAGCCATCGCACAGTCCCTCATTCACTTTCTTGTTTTATAGCTCACTGTGTTTTGCCAGTTTGTTTGGGCTTTGCTTCGGTGGTAAATAGTGGTTCTAAGATGGTCTCCTTCCCTGTAATCAATAAGTATACAGGAACATTAAACACCAAACACAGACGGGATATCCATTCATCCTCGGATAAAAACAAACCCATTACTTGCATAAGTGCCAAAAGACTGGAAACAACAGTAGCATAAAATTGCATAACGCCCGTTGTACTTTCTACGCAAAAGAGAATAGTACATTACACAAGTGCTACAGAGAAGGTGGAGACCTTATACACATGTTCTTTGAGGAAGGTGGCTTGGCACGTGGTTCGATGTTAGAAGATTAACCACCAGCATCTACAGTAAGTACAATTTTCTGATCACAAACAAGATAGTTTGTGTGGGAATGAATACTCATTCCATTAAGACGACTGAAGTTCCTCATGGTAATCGATGCTTAGATTGAATCGAATTTACGGCCTGTGCATAGATTTTATTGGTCTATTGGTACCTGGTTTTGGTTTGAAAACCAAAAGTGGTCCGTTCTAGTCAGTCGGTGCCGTAGAGTGGTTTCGTTTTACAGAGCACTGATCACGCCGCTTCGTCTAGTGGCCGACTCTTGCAATCCAAGCTCGTCGAGCAGAATAATATTAGTCAACGTTCCCGAACAAACATATCAAATAAGTTTCTACCTAGCTGAGCTTCAATACCTAGCCGAAAAGTGAGGCAAAGTTCTTCGGTGGCACTCGGTAGTCGATGGGGAAAGCGAAATCGATTTGGCTCCAGCTTATAGTCTAATTCTTCCGTTTCTATTCACTTGATGGATCCTCTTGAAGGTCATTTGCCTCTTCGTCCGTCTGTGTGGATGAGATAGTTGTGTAAGGAAGAGGGATTCTGTGGACCTTTGGTCGGGTTAGAATTTCCACCCCCATCCCCGGTTTTTCCCAATGATTCTACGTGAATTGACAACCACACCGTCACGTGTCAACTTGGCTTATCTAAGACACCTTTTCATACGCTCGCGAGTTCCACACACTCAATTCTGTTCACGCTGTGAGGCTTGATGTTTTCCACTGCCTCGACTATCAGCCGCTATGGAATGAATCGCAGTCCTCGTCTTAAAACTTCTACATTCTCCAGATCTACTCTATGTCCCTTGTCTAAGGCATGTAGTGCCATCGCCGAGTCTTTGATCAACCTTTAGTGTTCCTCCTCATTCCTTAGTGGTTTGTTCATCCCCCGTTTATGCACATCGATTCTCTGTCAGTTTGTCCCATGTAAACCTTAGTGAAGTCGTTGCAGTTAATTTTGTGCACACAGTCCCTAGTCCTTTCAGTCGGCAGGGGATCTTTCATAGTCATAATTGTGCTTATTCCATGAAACCCGATGAGCTTACGTCGTCTGCAAAGAAGATGTAAGCAACTGCGTTTCCAACAATCGGTCCTTGGAATATTGCAGTGCCTAGCAGATTGCTGTGTCTATGGAACAATATCCTCTAGAAGTGATCCCACCCGGTAAGTAAATTTGAAACAATAGTGTTGCGTGACCGCAAACACGAACGAACATGGACATCTGTACTCGGATCTTGGGAAACATAAGGCCGTAAATGGTTGTGTTTCTCGACCAAGAAGGTCACAATGCCACACAATCCGCGTAAACGTGCACTATCTGAAGGTGCTTGCTTCTAAGAGTTATTCAGATTAACTCTCCTAGGCAGAACACCCTTTAAATTAAATATTCGATGGTGAGGGGAACGGTGAGGTTCATGAGAAGAAAATGCGAGGTTCAGAAGTGCACGAAGCTCTTAAGCAAGGCTGGTTTTCTGAGGGAGTACAGCGTAGAGGCGAATTTCATTTCTTGGGTGTTAACGCACCAGTTGAATTTTGATTTATTTGTGTATATGTATGATCACTTTGGTAAGTACAAGCTGGCAGAGAACCAATGCTGCCTTATATTTTTCTGGTGAAAAATTGATCTGTTTGTCCTGTTCGTCTCATTTACGGCGTTTAGGAATCATAGATGTTGTTGTTGCTACTCTTCAAACACTAAAAATTCTGCTGTTAGATTCACATTGCAACAGTAGTTGAGCAGAAGCCTAATGTATTTAACCAGAAACCTGGCGCGTATAACTCATTCTGGCGTGGATATTGGCGAAGATTTGTGATATGAAATCAATACCAAAGTGTTTGGTGAGACGTCTCAAGGACATAACTCAACAATGCATATACTCCATACATCAGAATAGAATGCGTCTGAAAAGATCCTCACATGACGAACTTCCACAGAACTCCAATCTCATTTCCCTGTTTTCACATGCCAAAACTAGACCGACCATGATTTGTCATCACGTCTTCTACCTGATTCGCATAGTTTTTGGCCTGATGAACTGTTCTTCAGGTTAGGGAACATCAGAGCTGACAATGAATCTAGCTATAGCGAAGGACCGAAAAGCTGAACTAAACACCGGTGACCTTGGGCTTGGTGTTACTCCCTCGACTTGTCGTACCACACGCAAGCCATCCTTTTGTGTGGAAAGTTCACGTGATAGGTCCACGAACATGATGGATTGTCACGTTCATATTCTCTAAAAGAATTGCAGAGCAAAATCAAACATTAACCGGTACTTTGTAATTGTATCGAAAATGTTACCTATACAGTAACAACGTGACCATTGTTTCGCTGTAAAATTCGCGTCTCATCTGAAGAAGCTTTAGCTTCTACACTTCACTGCGATTTTCGGTTTTATCAAACACAGTTTGTTTGGTAGACCACTGTGGTTCATTTTAGGCTCTATGCATGCATCACTTGCGTTATAGTGTGGAATGTTTTACCACCACGTTGATATAACTGTGCCATATTAGTGGCCATCTGTTGGATTTCGAAATTCCTGTAAAAATAGATTATCATGGGCATTATTCTGTGTCAGGTGTCCTAGCATCATATTTTCGATTTTTTACAAGATTCTTGTTGCCGTGGTTGGCAGTTTCAAGGAAGGATATTCAAACTGACTGCAAAAACACACAAAATAGACTTTTAGTGAACGACAGTTGTGTCTGACGACTATCAGAAACTTCCATTTCTCAAAATATGAGGAACCATCAATCTCGTTATTGGGGCAGTCTCCAAGTAATTTTGAAAAACGGTAGCAACCGCCAGTTTGGTTCATTGAAATACCGAAAATTAGGCAGAACAGCTAAGCATGAAGGCACAACAAGAATATGGATGCGGTGTGTCTCGTTACTGCTGTTCGCAAAGGGCTCAGTTGCCGTAGCGACTTAATGTGGTCGTCCTCTCTTACTGCTGTTCGCAAAGGGCTCAGTTGCCATAGTGACTTAATATGGTCGTCCTTTTAGGCCACCTGAAAACTCACAGACCCACCTGCTAACATGGTGTGACGAATTGAGCCATTCGCATATCAACATGGTTTTCTCGACACACATGGAGTACTTTTATTCAAATAACTGCTTGACAAATTACCATCAGGAATAGGATGGATAAACTAAAATTAATGAAATGCTACTGAACTCTTCATTAACAACGGCGCTCCGCCAATCGGCGGCATCTCAGAACATTTACAGTTTAATCCGACACATCCGATTCGAAGGCTGCCCATCCATTTCACCATTTTATCT